CTCCCCTAACCCCCCCCCCCTCGAGCTCGAAAACCGGGGGGGGTCACTACAGGTTCGAACCCCCCCCCTCGAAAACCGGAGCGAGGGGTCACTACCGGTTCGAACCACTGAGCTGTCCCACTGTTCCCACCACTGTCCCCACTGTCCCTACCACTGTCCCCACTGTACCTCTGTCCCATTGTCCCACCGCCGTCCTCGCCACCGCCTTCACCACTGTCCCCACCACCACTGTACCCTCCACTGTCCCACTGTTTCCACCACATTCCCACTGTCCCCACACCACTGTCCCCACCACCACCGTCCCCACCACTGTCCACTGTCCCCACTGTTCCCACCATTGTCCTCACCACTGTCCCCACCACTACCGTCCCCACCACTGTCCCACTGTCCCCACCAATGTCCCGCTGCCCCCTCACTACTGTCCCCACCACCACCACCACCGCCCCCACCACTGTCCGCACCCCCACTCGGTTTTCGAGGGGGTGGGGGGGGGGGTTCGAACCGGCAGTGACCCCCCCGGCTTTCGAGGGGGGGGTTCGAACTGGTAGTGACCCCCCCCCTTTTCATGATGAACTTGGGGGGGGGGGGAGGGGTTCGAACCGGTAGTGACCCCCCCCGGTTTTCCGGAGGGGGGGTGGGGGAGGGGTTCGAACCGGTAGTGACCCCCCTCCCGGTTTTCCGCTAGCAGCGGTAGAACACGCTCTTTCAGTTATACATACACACATGCATCTACACATACATGCATGCATGCATGCATGCATCCATACCTACATGCATACACACATACACACATACATACATGCGTACACACATTCATATTTACGTACATATATATATATATATATATATAGCGAGAGAGAAAGAGAGAGATAGAGAGAGAGAGAAGATGAGGATGGATGGAGGGCAAAAGAAGACGGAGGGAGGGAGGGGAGAGAGGGAGGGAGGGGGAAAGAGGGAGGGTGAGGAAGGAGTGGGAGGAGTGGGAGTAAGGGTGTAGAGAAGAACTGCGATGGAGGGTGCTGAGTTTTGTTTTGGCTGGTCCGCGCTCCGAGAACGTCAAACGCCAGGGGGCGCGGCCCTGCCGCGAGAGCCGCTGGTGTGGCCTCATTTTTTTTTGCATCCGAATGGGTAGCAAAGAAGGGTACACCCACTCCTCCTTCTCCTCCTCCTCCTCCTCCGCCTCCTCCTCCTCCTCCTCCTCCTCCTCCTCCTCCTCCTCCTCCCCATTCCTCCTCCTCCCCATTCCTCGTCCTCCGCCTCCTCCATTCCCTTTCCTTATAAACAACTTCTCCCTGTCGCACCCCAAAGCCGGTCGAAAAGGCGGGTCGGGCGTTTCGCCTGAGACTTCCTGAACCGTGATGACCCTGAGCCGTAAACATTGGCAAACGTTTCGCAAATGGAGGGCGGGTGGTTTTCAAAATGTGACTCTCGCCTCAGCGCCGCGCACATTCGTTTTTAAACTTTGCAAGAGTTTTGCGGATTGAGGGCGGGTGGTTTTCAACATGTGGTTCTCGCCTCAGCGCCGCGCACATTCGTTTTCTAAATATTTGCCAGACTTTCACGGATTGAAGGCGGGTGGTTTTCAACATGTGGCTCTCGCCTTAGCGCCGCGCGCACTCATTCTAAATTTCTGCAAGAGCTTCACGGATTAAGGGCTGGTGGTTTTCAAAATGTGCCTGTCGCCTTCGCGCCGCGCACATTCGTTCTAAATTTCTGCAAGAGCTTCGCGGATTGAGGGCGGGTGGTTTTCAACATGTGGCTCTCGTCTTAGCGCCGAGCACATTCGTTCTAAATCTTTGTAAGAGTTTGACGGATTCGGGGCGGGTGGTTTTCAACATGTGGCTCTCGCCTTAGCGCCGCGCGCATTCGTTTGAAACATGTGCTAAGAGTTTGACGGATTGAGGGCGGGTGGTTTTCAAAATGTGGCCCTCCTCTGAGCGCCGCGCACATTCGTTTTACAAACTTGCCAGAGTTTCACGGATTGAGGGCGGGTGGTTTTCAAGATGTGGCTCTGGTCTTAGCGCCGCGCGTATTCCTTGTTAACAAGTGCAAGAGTTTCACGGATTTCCATGGTCAACATACCAGAAGTTGTGTCTGGGAAAGATTCAGGATTATGAGGGTGCAACAATTAACTTGATTCGCGGAGTTCAAGTCCCAAGAATGGCCTCTGGCACGATTCAGGATCGTCAAGACGCAACAGTCAGGCTGATCCGTTGCGTTGGAGTCCCGAGGATAATGTTTTGGCATGCTTCAGGGTCTTCAAACGGTTGTCTTCCAACGAGGCAGTTCCCCCAGTGGAAATGAGCCCTTGTAAGGGCCTGTGAAGAGGGAGCTTGGAGGGAGGGCTTATGCCAACGTCGGCTGCTCCTCCCCCTCCCCCTCCTGGTCCTCCTCCTCGCCGTCTTTCTCCTCGCCCTCAATGAATCCCGTCTGTTGCTCCTTCTCCTCCTCCACTTCCTCCCTCCTCCTCCTCCTCGTCTTCCTTCTCCTCATGATCATCAACATCATCACCACTATTGATCGCTATCACCATACCCGCTACCACAACCATTATCACCAGCATCCTCCTCCAGCATCCTCCTCCTCCTCCTCATAATCCTCATCCTCATCCTCATCCTCTTCCTCCTCCTCATCATCCCCATCATCAAAATCATTCACTGCAATGCGGCCGCGGTCGCAAGAACCGCATCGCAAGAAACCATGCCCTGAATATCCGCGAGCGAGGTGCAATTGAGGGTGCACTCAGAGCACCCGAAGTGCAGCAGTTTGATATCGCCCGCGCATCTTGATGCGCGTCCCCACCGCATCAGCACCATGATCATAATCATGACCATGATATCATGATCATGATCATGATCATCATCGTGATGATGATGATGATGATCATCATCATCCTCCTCATCCTCCTCATCATCATCATCATCATCATCACCACCACCATCATCATCAGCATCATCATTATCACCACCACCATCGATTTCACCATCACCATAATCACCCTCACTGCCACCACAATCATCGTTGCCATCCTCCTCCTCCTCCTCCTCCTCCTCCTCGTCATCAGTACTATCATCACCTCCACCATCATCATCACCATCACCATCATCACCAACACCATCACCACCATCACCATCACCACCACCATCATCATCATCATCATCATCATCATCATCATCACCATCATCATCATCATCATCATCAGCATCATCATCGTCATCATCGTCATCATCGTCGTCGTCATCTTCATCTTCATTGTCATCACCATCAATCATCAACACCGTCATAATACTCATCGTCATCATCATCATCACCACCACCACCACCATCACCATCACCACCACCACTATCACCATCACCATCATCACCATCACCATCATCATCACCACCATCATCATCATCATCATTACCATCATCATCACCATCATCACCATCATCATTGTCATTATCGTCTTCGTCGGCACCACCACCATCATCACCACCATCGCTGCATCATCCCACCTTGCTACGAAATGTCCTTCCCTCTCCCTCATCCATTTCCGTCTCCTCCTCCTCCTCCTTTTTCTCCTCTCCCTCACCCCCCCCCTCCTCCGCACTCTCCCGCTCCTGCCCCTCTCCTCCTCCCCCCCGCCCCCGTCGTGGGTGGGTGCACCCCTCCCTGCTGCCCCGGCTGGCCGCGCTAGGTGTCTGCGCCCCTGCTCCGGATGATCGACTCCACCGCTCGGTTCAGATTGCCGCCTGCGCGGACCGCCGCCTGGGCGCTCGGCTCGTCGTCGAAGCCCATGCAGCGCAGGGTGGCCGCCAGCTGCTCCTGGCGGGCCATCTCCAGCGCCTCCTCGTCGTCCGCGGGCGCCGCAGAGGAGCTCGCCTGGGAATTATGTGGTTTCCCTCGTACTTAAGGGCCGCATCCCGGAAATACTTTCGAGCACCCAGAAAAGTGTCAAAAGAGTGTCGAAAGAGTGCCGAAACAGTGTCGAACGAGTGCCTCCCAGGGCCCGACACGTGGAAACCCTCGAGTTTCGGTACTTTTTGGGGGCTCGAACTTCTTCCTGGTGATCAGGGCGAAAGTAGGTTGGAACATCCGAACTTGGGAGGACGATCCGCTGGCCCAGACCAGGGGGAGCCCCCTTGTGGGGCGCTGCTTCCGCGCGCGTTCTAAGAACATCTCGTGCAGACCACACGAGGCCTCAGGGCTGGACCTAAACGATGTTTTGCTGGACTTCGGCTGTGCTTTGTTTTCGTTTTGGCAGGGAGGTACAGGAAAACAGGTAGAGCAAAACAAGTAACAAAACGAAAGCAAAACGAAAAACAACGTTTAGGTCCAGCCCTGGTGGGCCTATAGTTATGTCGGGCCTGTCCCCCTACAGGGGGATTTTCGACGAAAAATTATAAATACCCAAAACATACTTCAAAAAGAAAACAGATACTAGAAAAATAGTCCCCAGACTATTTTTGGACTATTTTTTGATTATTTTTGGTGCATGTTTTATTTTTCGTCGAAAGTCCCCCTGCAGGGGGGACAGGCCCGACTTAAGCCTACAGGCGAGCCAGGACGCCTCGCCACTGCTTGAAAGGAGGACGAGGGCCCCCGCTCGCCGCCGCGCCCTCCTCCTCGCCGGCGCGCCACCTGGCCGCGGCCGCGGCCAGCACCGCCTCGCCGAAGCGGCTTCCGCCCCTCGGCGACTCCACGAACTCCGCCTCTCGGGAGCGGCCAAGAGGGGGGTGTCCAAGAGGGGGGGGGTGCAAATCATGACCGGCGGCATCTGCGCGGCCTGGCGGGGGGGCCAGGGACGTAATGAAATAAGAAGAGGCGCCATGAAATCTGGGGAGATATCATGGCCCACGCCAGGATGTCTCCCCCCCCCTAGTCATCCCCCCCTCTTTTCCGCCCCCGAGCCTCGAGGGGCTGCTCTGGCACGTCGTAGCC